TGGGGCTGCAGCCCTGTCACCTCTTGAATAGATGCTAATGACCACTGCGAGGCCACACGGCCAGTAGGTGGCAACGTGGAGGAGTGAGAAGGCGCCCCGCTTCCATTGCCTTGCCCAGACCTAAGCCTACAGCCACGTGTTGGGGGGCAGGTGGGGTAGGAGAGAGGGGGTAGTGGGGAGGGGGCTTTCCTGGCATAAGCACAGATGGGGTCCTGCCCTCTGCTCCTGCCCCTGAGCTGCCAGCACTTTGGGGACCAGGCTCACGCAGGCGCTGCACACACAACCCTCGCGGTCACCCATCACCCAGCAGGGGGTCCATGGGGACTGCCCGGGAAGGGCGCCCTGCAGGTGCTGGCTTTCCTTCCTGCACCTTTTTGCTGAGTGGGGACTCGAGGAAGGACCTTAAGGACTTGTCTTAAGTCCTTGACTTGTCTCCCCTTTCCTCTTGCTGACCTGACACCCCAGTTCCTGGTTTTCTGAGGAGTGGCGCCCTCAGGGCCAGACAGCAGGTCTGACTGTCCTGTTAGGTCCAAGTGGCCTGGGATGAGTTCATGGACCGTGCAAGTCATCTGCTTCCCCCGTGAAATCCAGCCGAGGAAGGTCACCTTGTGGTGGTGAAAGATGAGAAGGGCGGCAATCCTTCCTGTGTCTGCAAAACTTACTTTAGAGCTCACTTTCACGCCTGCATCTTAACCTTCCTCAGAGTTGAGGGGCGACGGGAGTCATTCTCTCCCACTTGGTGACAGAAGGTGACCAGGCAGTTTTGTTGACTTGCTCTGGGCCCCCCACTTTGTCTTCTGCGTCCCAACCAGCTCACCCCGAGACCAGCAGAGGGAATGTTCTCTCCGTTTCGGATGAGTGTCCTAGGGAGACCTGGTAGCTTGGTCAAGTACAGGGACCCTGCAGCCTACCATGGGCCGTCGGCCTTGGTCTAACGCGTGACTGTCCGGGGGACGCCCTGCTTAAGGGAGGGAAGGTCACAGGTCCTTCCAGGTGGTATGTCACCCCCCCCTTCGCGACACACTTAAGTGGACACACGTCAGACTTGCTTGGTGACAGCGGCAGTAGTCAGCGAGTGCCGGACCCTCTGTCAAGGACCTCACCCGTGTATAAAATCTCAGGTCGTCTTATCAGCCCCGCAGACAGGAGTCACCCTGTTCTCCAGACAAGGAAACGAAGCTTAGAGCACGAGTCACCCCAAAAGTTGACATGCTGGGAACCCACGCCCCTCCCTGACCCGGCGGGTGCTCTGCCAGGCGCCGCCTGGTGCTCTCCAGGTGAAGCCGGGGTTCCTCGTCCAGCCACACTGAGAAGTGAACTGCAGGAGGTTCAAAGAGGAACCCCAGGTCCCAGCTCAGCGCTGAACCCCAGCTCAGCTCTGGTGGGGCAGAACTCAGGTTCCTGGGCCTACCTAGTCCTATGAGGGCGCCTGGGCCAGGGCCCCGATTCCCTCCCGTTCTTCACTCGAGAGCGTCTTTCTTACCCGCAGCGGCGCCACCCAACCCAAACCGAGAGGTGGCCGGCGACACCATCATCTTCCGGGACACCCAGATTAGCAGCAGGGCCGTGTACCAGTGCAACACCTCCAACGAGCACGGCTACCTGCTGGCCAACGCCTTCGTCAGCGTGCTGGGTGAGCAGTGCGCCCAGGACCCCTGAATCAGCCAGCCGGGGGTGGGGGCAGGAAGGCAGGCCCAGGGGGGAGCCAGAGACACGGAGATGCGCTGTGCAGGAGGAGAGGAGTTCAGATGACGAGCGGAGGTGGCAGGGTAGATCTGTCCTGCCTCGCCTCTCGGTGGGACTCCGGTGGGAGACCCCGAGTCGGCAGCTCCCCAGAGCAGGGCGCCGACAGTGGGAGCGGCCCAGAGGTGCCTGCCGGCCATGGAGAAGCAGGCGCAGAACGTGCTGGATAACTGCAAAGCTGGGTGGCTGCAGCAGGGGTCAAGGCCCAGCATAGGCTTCCTCCTCCTCCTCTGTCTCCTCCTCTGTGGCTGCTCAGGAGGGAGGTTGGTAGGGGAAGGTTTGCTGGCTCTCGGAAAGCTGCTGGCAGGTGAAGGCCTGTAGCAGTGAGACCGAGGGGAAGAAACGACGCCCGAGATGGGCTCTCTGGAAATTGTAGATGTGCCGCCTCGCATGCTGTCTCCCCGGAACCAGCTCATCCGGGTGATCCTTTACAACCGGACACGGCTGGACTGCCCGTTCTTTGGGTCTCCCATCCCCACACTCCGATGGTAAGTTCCAGGAGAACAGCCCTGCCCCTTGCCCCGGGGTCCTGTCTCGCTTCCCCGTTCCCGCCTGACACGCAGCAGGGGTTGGCAAGGCCTGGGCACTGGGCAGAGCTCCAGGGGCAGTGGGCAGGGGACCCGGTCGAGGCCCCGGTGCTGCAGACCCCCGAGGGGGGTCCCCCCCCAGCCACGGCGGTCCCGGCGGTCGCTGCCGCACCCCGGGCCTTCTCAGCACGCCGTGTGTTCCGCTGCTCTGTCGTGAGGTTTAAGAACGGGCAGGGGAGCAACTTGGACGGCGGCAACTACCACGTCTACGAGAACGGCAGTCTGGAGATCAGGATGATCCGCAAGGAGGACCAGGGCATCTACACCTGCGTGGCCACCAACATCCTGGGCAAGGCCGAGAACCAGGTCCGCCTGGAGGTCAAAGGTAAAGGAGTGGGCTGGGCGGGGGCTCCTAAGCCCACGTGGTGATTTTCACACCTGATGTTTGTCCAGCGAGTGTTCTATGGGGTCCGAACAGAATCCGGAAGGGGGACCACCGCTCACAGCATCTGGCCACTCCCATCCCAGGAACTGCCTTCCCCAGACAGGAGGGACTTCGGGGGTGCTTTACTATGGGGGTCATCCACCCCACACTCCCCCCATTCACACGACCGGGACTGTTTCTGCACCTTCTGTGTGCGGCTGGCCCCGAGGTGGCGGGCAGAGACCTTGCCAAGGACAGCCAGCCCCCTGGGGGTCCCCCCAGACCCCACCAGGATCTTCCGGATGCCCGAGGACCAGACGGCCAAGCGGGGCACCACCGTGCAGCTGGAGTGCCGGGTGAAGCACGACCCCTCCCTGAAGCTCACCGTCTCCTGGCTGAAGGACGACGAACCCCTCTACATCGGGAACAGGTGTCTGCCCCAGACCCCTGCGCCGGCTTGGGGACCTTTTCTTTTCCCGTGCACTTGGTGGGCTCGGGGCAAGTTCACCTGTGCCAAGAGTGTCTGAGGAACCGCTGAGGAGGGCATGATGGGGGACCCCAGAGGTGACCCCCCTGTTCCTTGCTCCCTTTCTTCCTCAGCTCCCCCTCTCTGTGGCTCCTCTTTCCTCTCCCTCTCCTTCTCTTCACTTCTCTCCCACTCTCCCCTGACTCCTCCTCTCTTTTCCTCCCCCTTTCTTTACCCCTTCACCACCTGAACCCCCTCTCCTCCCTCAGCCCTGATGCAGTTCCCCTGTTCTCCAGCAGAGGGCAGCCGTGGCCCTCTGGGGTGCTTTACTAGAGGCCTGACTCCTCTGCCTTATCCCAGAGAGGGATTTAATGGGAGTGGAAGGGGCCCAGCTGTGGGAGTGTCTGCGAGTCTACCCCTTGCTTCTGGTGTGCATTCATGGTTGAGAACAGGTAGCGCAGCCTCCCTCCATGGCCCTGCTGGACACTCATGCCCAGGTCACGCTGGGTGCCAGCTCTTTCCAGGGATCAAGGTTCTGCAGGGATGTCTCAAGGGCAGGCACAGGCCGTTCTGGCACTCACGGTCCCGCCCTGCTCTTTGGTGCCCCCGGGTGCCTGAGCTGAGCCTGGGCACAGAGACCCATCTGGGCAGAAGCCAAGATGGAAGTATGGGAAGAGAAGGCACCCCAGTGCCTTTGCGGGGCACGCGTACTGTGCCGTAATTGGGGTGGGGAGCACAGCCCAGGAAAGCAGAGGACAGCCCCAGTGTGGAATTTGAGGCCAGTGAGCACAGGCCGGGGCCCCTGGCTGTACCCACACTCCTTTCCGCACACCAGGCACTGTAAGTGCTCACACGGTGGTGACCCCTGCCTCTCAGAGCGGAAATAGAGCCTGTGTCCCCCAGAAGGGGCCCTCCCCTCTGACTCTGGGGGTGCAGGGGCAGCATCCCACACTCCCACTTCCCCCCTATGGGTCCCCATTCGCCCTTTTCCCAGCCCTGGTCCGATGCCCTTGCAGGATGAAGAAGGAGGATGACTCCCTGACCATCTTCGGGGTGGCAGAGCGTGACCAGGGCAGCTACACGTGCGTGGCCAGCACCGAGCTGGACCAGGACCTCGCCAAGGCCTATCTGACCGTGCTAGGTAACTGCCGCTGCCCGCGCTGGCCCTGACCGCCCGTCCTGCCCTTCCCCGTCCCCAGGGTCACAGCTGCAGGGGCCCTTGGCTGTGCTGCGGACAGTGCCGTGGGGCGTGGGCCCACAGGTGGGCATCTCCGCCTCCTGACTAAGGCTGGGAAGCTGCTCCTTTCGGAACAGTCTGAGCTGGACAACTTACCCCCTAAGCGGAATCATGAACTCACCTGAATCCGCAACTGAAAAGTGTGTGACTGGTGGAAAGTGAGAAGGCGTTCCTTATTGTGACCTTTTCTGACAACTCTGCAGCTAACTCTAAGCCACTAAGTCAATTAAAATAATCCATCATTGAAGCAAGACTGGATTTTGTGTTTGTCCTTCCAGCACCCGCTGCCAGCTTTCTCCCGCTCCCACCTCTCCCTACTCCTGGGTGGGGTTTCGCAGTGCGCTGTGCACTTGGAAGGGGGTCCTGTCCAGTCCTGCCCTGCGTCCAGGCCAGACTGTAGCAGCTGAGGCATCCCCACCCTGGGGAGGCAGCGGTTGCCCTCCAGGGATTGAGTCCACCGCTGGCCTGTCACTCTGTCCTCTCTGGGTGACCTGCCACTCCTGCGGGGGCACTCATGTCACCGTGGTGGAGGCAC